GGGGGGGGGGGGAGTGTGCGGCACAGGGTGAGGTGTCGGGGGGCGGCGGCGCGAGGCGTGCGGGGATTGTGCAGGAAATGACCGACAGCAGGGTGCGGCGGAGCCTTCTGCCAAGGGACAGCGCGATCAAGGTGCAGCGCCCCCCGCTGCTTCGCAGGCCTCAGTGCGCGCGATCGCGCAGTCGCAGCGGCAGCGCCGCGCACGTGCGGACACTGAAGCCTAAATTCCCAAATCCCTGCAGCTGCAATCTGCAGCCGGCTCACCCTGTCGCCGATGCCGCGCGCGATGGTGGTGCGCTGGCCGGCGCGGTCGTCAACAATGGTCTGCGTCTCGCGCACCTGCCAGGCGCACAGGCAGGTGGGGTGTGGGCTTGTGAGGGACGGCTTGGTGTGTCCTACTGGTAAGCAGGGACCGCGCGTGCTCTGGCGCCCAACAATCACAACTTGCAGCTTGCAGCAAGGACGCTGCCTGCCTTATCGCCCGCAAAAAGGGATGCGTGCAAAGGCGTGGGTTGATCGGTACCGGACTCGTGGGAGACCAACCCAAGCATTGCGCATCATTTAAGGACAAAAACCCGGCACAGCCAAGGCCGCCCGCAACCCCCCAATCAACGTGCTTCAACTCATCAACACAACTGGCAGCCCCGGCCCCCCGCCAAAGCCGGCTTCTGCAGAGCAAAGCCTCCCCACGAAACAGAGGCCGCTGCCTCGCGCTCACCCCGCCAGAGGCGCGCGTCGACGTCGTCACCCGAGTGCCGTCCGAGTTGTATGTGCTGCTCTGGCCCATGTACACGGCGCCCGGCGGCAGCGCCCCCGACGCGGCCGCGGCGCCGGTCGAGCGCAAGGCGCCGCCCATCTCCCGCATCATGTTGTCCATCTGGGGGTTGCAGGCGGTTGCAGTCGGTTGAAAGCGGTTGAATCACCGCAGGGTTGGGTTTTATAGCGCCGACAGGCGGCTGGCACGGGGCAGGGATGTGAGGGCTGGTAAGGCGCATGGAGAGGTGCTGGCGCCCGGCCTGCGGGCGGCTGCTGCAAAGCTGCCCCGCAGGCTCCAGGCAACTCAGATGCAAGGCACCCTTGTCGCCCTGGCGTGATCAGCCAGCCAACGCTCACCTGCGCAAACATGCTGCCAAACAGGCCGCCGAAGCCCGCCCCCATGCCCATCCCCATGCCGCCAAAGGGGCCCCCCATGCCCATGCCGCCGCCGCCGAAGAGGCCGCCGCCAAAGGGATGGCCCCCAAAAGGGGCGAAGCCAGAGAACGGCGCGCCGCCGAACGGCGGCGGCCCCTGGTGCTGCTGCTGCTGCTGCTGCTGGTAGTGGTGGGGCCCGGCGTGAGGGTAGCCCTGTTGCTGCTGGTGGTGATGCTGCTGCTGCTGGTGCGGCTGCCGCGGGTAGTGGTGGTGGCCCGCACCAGGCCGTGGCTCGCGCTGCTCGTGGGTCAGATTGGGCTCCTCATCTGCACAGGGAAGTGCAAGTAGGGATTCATGCGCTGGTGCAAGGAACAACCAAGGCTCTTGCAATGCAGATTCAGTGCTAGAACGGCCCCCCTGTCATGCGGCATGGCGCCACATAAGCGCTAGCGGAGACGGGCGCGCGACTTGCATGCAGTGCGCGCACCGTCGGGCTCCTCTACAAACGCAGGGTGGTGCCGGGGAAAGTGGTCGTGAAGGTGGTCGTCCTGAGATATCTCTTCCACATGCGGACGTCCCTAGCGAGAGCCACAAGGAGGGCTGGTAAGCTGGCCGGCCCCGCAGGCGCATATGACAAGGTCCGGCACGCACACGCACCTGACCACGATGGCCATGAGGTCCCTGGTCGCCCAGCATCGCCGCTCAGCTATCCAGCGTCCCGGAAACCAGCCAACAGATCACACGACAACCTGCGCGTTCGCCTGGCGTTGTTCGTGTACAATTTTGAGACACTCCAAACGAAGGAGATATGTAATCTGAGAACAGGTCTTTGGTGGTACTCCTGGGGGGGGTGCTCGACGCACTATGGTGACATCACTCATAGGCCAGCTGGGCGGGGGTATGATGGATTGTGGTGCCATCACTCAAAGGCCAGCTGGTGATACAGCACCACGAACAGTGTGGAAAGGGTGTTGGACGTCGATACCGCCCGCCATGCTGGCGTGCCAGCAGCTGCCGCGTGGGGCGCCGCGTACATGATGATTTGCAACAATGCTGCAGAAACGGCACATTTCAGCCCTTTGATAATAGTTACTTGTGTGCGCTAGTAGCATTATCACATGTGCTTGCAAGAAAGCATGCAAAGAGCGAATAGGCATGTTGCCAATAGCTGGTGCAGCCCGCCAGTCCAGCGCCAGTCCAGAACTCCAACCCGCCCTCCATACGGAAGCCCCACCACTCACAGGACACCCCTGCATGTGCGCACTGGACACGAGTCCAAGAACTTTGCCAAGCGACACGCCTGCCACCAAGCACCCCCGTCCCCAAGACTGCCCCGAGCACCCCCCGAGCCGGGCGGCTTCCCAGCAGCTACTCGTTCGAGTCCGCCAGCAGCGCAAACGCGTTGACCAGGCGCGTGGACGCCGCTACCTGCTGCCGCTTCTCCTCCAGAGCCTTGAACAGCCGCTGCCCCTTGTTAGCCGCCTCCTTAGCATCCGCAGCATCCTTCGCCTGCTTTGCCTCCTTTGCTTTTGCCGCCGCCGCCGCTGCCGCGCCGGCCGCATCTCCCTTGCTGGCGGGCGGCGCCTTAGCC